CAGCTACTGCTGCAGCACCTCAACTGACCACACGTAGTTAGTTGGAGAAGGTAGACAGGATATAAACTAGTGGCAACTGCGGGTGAGGCGAGCTGGTGCAGCATTGCACCGGAGGAAGGATGACAAAGATAGATTTGTTGCTTTTGAAGTATACAGTTGACGGGGTGGAAATGCCAATATAAAACAAAATTGTGGGTTAGTGTGAGAATGAACTGCGGGGGCAGCGTGTGCTGCCGCTGCGAGATTAGCTATGGCAGCGTTGTGCTGCCGCTCTTAATTACCGGCGTTCGAGTTAGACAGTGGGAGAGGCGCAGAGCCGGTATACCGGTACTAGGGAGGGGCTGTTGCATTCACACCCATTGGGCTGCGCCATTCTTCTGGGCGCAGCCTCAGGTCCCCCTTTGGAAAACCTAACAACTCTTTGAGGTATAGTTGGCAACGCCCTACAACTGAAGGGGGCCCATCTGAAGGGGACCCTTAACCATTTCAGTGGGTCCAGCTTCAGTAGCTGAGGTGTATGTTCATTACGCTTTATAACAGGCTGCTGGGTGCTTGAGGGCGGTGGCGGTTCCCTTGTGACCAGTACACGGTATAAACGGCTTGACGTACACAGCCTTAGCGTGCACTCTATACATGTGCTAACACATGCATATCATGTACCGTACACTTGCTTGCATAACGCTGACAGACGATGCGGAATGGGGAGGGAGCGAACCTCCAGCGTAGCTACGAAAGGAATGGTTAAGTGTTCAGTGACTGCGCTTAGCATACCATGTAGATGAATTGTGGTTATATGCATTCATAGTGCTTTCTACGTTCACAATATCACTTCCGTTTCCAAACATCGCAGCCACCCACGACTTGCCCCCTTTGGGGCTTACGCAATTTTTCTCACTCTGCGTCGCCTTCCTGCCTTGGTTGCAGTTTCTGTTGTTGCCATTGCTCCTGTTGTTGCTACTGGCGCTGGAGCTTCTACTGCCGTATCAGTTGTTTCGCTTATGCTTTCTTCACTGCTGCTTAGCTCTTGCTGCTGCTGCTGCTGCTGCAGTTCATCGTCTTTTGCAGTTGTGCTTGTCGGCTCCTTGAGCGCGCACAGGGCAAATGCAGCTGAACTGTGGCGCACCACCCCCGTTTTCTTTCCCCACAGCTTCTCAACTTCCAGGGCTGGCGGTAGCACGTAGGTCTTAAGCCCACAGTAGCGGTATCCCACAGAGCACGCGTTGAAGCCGGCTCGCACCAGCGGCATTAAGGTGTGCAGCTCCAGAGCAAACCCTGCAGCACGGGACATGGCTGTTTGCAGTGGGTTGTGAGCTCAATGCAGTACAGTGATGTGCTGGATAATGAATTGAGGCATGGCGTACTGCGGCGTCAACAAACATAACGTTTGATACATATAATACAGTGTAGAAGTGAGGTATCATGCAAGGCAGCTCCTGTTGCGATCCCCAAGAAATGAAAATAAAGAGTAGATAATGATAGCTAACAAGTGGGCGAAGTAAAATACACAACACTACCAGGGAGACGCACCGGCAACATTGGAGCCGTTTGCTCCACAGTCTGCGGCCGCCGTTTTAGCAGGATCAACAGTTTGGCTGGAGCCCACAACGCCCGCGTTGGAGGCCACGAACATATTTTGCAGACCTGCGGAACGAGACCACCCAAACACTGAGTTAGCGCTGGAACCTGTGGCCTTCACTCTGAACACTAGAACGTAGTGCTTAAGAAGCCTGAAAGGGAAGCATCCCAAACTCTTTGCCAGAACCCCAGCATGCTTAATAGAAGAAACTCCCTCCATAGAAAACCGTGCGCTCTTCAGGCTTCCGAAGACAATTACCTGGCAGCTCGCGATCTACACAGGCTGCATAAAACAAATGGTGAGACTGAGTCTGCTCGGGCACGGAGCCCACGTCTTGGTAGTGGCATTCCTTAGCACCTGCAGCCCAGCTTCACATCAGATGAGCTTAGCATTTAACTCGAAACCCCGTAACCCACACCCTGAATAGGGGGCTCTACACTGAATGATCACTACAGTATTACTACAGCTAAGCTGAACGTGCTTAATTAATCTCCCGCTGCCGTAAATTTGACTATAATAAGGTATTTTATGAGGTGTGGAGCCGGTTTTACCTGGGGAGCAATGAACCACGCTGACGCTGGCTAAGCCTGCTTTATCATACATAAAGGTTAGCTGGAGGCCAAACAAAGCCTCTTTGCCTTGGCTGCACCCCACGGCAGTCTCAGGCTGCAGCAAACACACCGAACCCAAAATCCTGAATTCTATAGTGCGGGCTTCCTAGTCATGGAATGAAATGGAGAAACCGTACTGAGCAGTGAGCGCTGAATCCCTACAACGAAGCTTTTAGTCTGCGGCGCTCTACACCCAACAACAAGTACATACGTTGAAGCAGTGTAAAAGGTCCGCCCATTTGCTGTAAATGCTAAATGTTAAGGTCTCATATCTTAAGACCCTAAAATAATACTAAATGTGAAGCGTGAATGCAAAGCAAGGAACGGCATGACATTTTTTCCATTTTAAGCTTTCTGCTGGTCTTCTTCCGTTTGGCTGTTCCATTTTTGCAAGGTGCCGTGGCGCGCAACGTTTCAGGATTAAGCAGTTTATTACTAGGTAACAACTAGATTTTCCGCTTCATAGTAGTTTGTGTCAGTATAGAGTAAGAGCAATGACTTTACTGCATACACATAGGCTGAGCTTGAGCTGGAAGAAAATAGGGCCTCAACAGGCTAATTGAAGCTTACGAGGGGATCTACAACGCTGTAGGTTTCCAAAGAGGTAATCGGTTTGTCGCCGCAAACAGCCCAAATTCGCGCTTCGCCACTGGTGGTACTGGTACCTTCGCAACGGTGGCTGCACATAAAGTCAGATCCCTAGCCCTTACAAGAATGCGCACATTATCATCTGAATTGAGGGCTCTAGAGTTTACGGTCAAGGCTATGGAGTCTCTGCACAGCCTACACTGTGCAGCACTGAGGGCAGCTGGGATGCGGAGACCTGCCAAACGGCGTCCGGGACCTTTACCTAGAGTCGAAATACCTCAAAATGGGCTAAAGGTGGTGCAAAACTGAGGTAGCGAAACCAAAATTAGTCCAAGCAAACACGAATTAGGAGCAAATTCGCCAAATAAAAATGGTCTTACCTGCCATTCTGACAGCTCTTGATAGCCAACGGGGGCCCATTAGCATCCATGCTTAGTTGAGCAGCAAACCCGAAGAGGATCTTTTTGCCCTTCGGGCAATCAACGAACCCGGGAGCAGGTCCAGCCCACACAACAGTGGAGCTGCTGCGCAGCTGAGGTGTAAAAGAGCACAATACCCATATCCCCAAACCTTGTGTACTCAACACCATTTGCTGCAGCTCCTTACTGTTGCACAGCTAGGCACCTTGAAGTCGGGCACAGCTAAATGCAGTCGTATGCTGCGTAGATTCGGAAGCTACCAGCGCCAAAAGCCAGCTGGCCACGCTTTAGCTGAGGGGTTTTCACGCAACAGCTAGACGTCGTGTAAATGCTGCAAACTGCATTTTTAAGAGCGAGGTAGCTGTGTTGTACGGACTGCCTAGCTTCCTGTTCTTACAATCCAATTAGCTGCCTCTGCACTGAGCCGGGTTTGCAACGTCGCTATCCAACGGCCATAATTGGGTTTATTAGACAGCAAGCCATCCTGGCAGCACAACTAGCTGTCAGTGAGTGCTCACAACGTCTGTGATTGCCTCCGACGATCCCGTCAGTAGAGCGAGGTCGTCTTTGTTGTACCCAAAGGCCTGAGAGTAGAAGGAGCTGGCGCTGCGGTAGGCCGCATGAAGGTGCTGAGGCAAGAGACGAGTCAGTGGCTGCAGTTGGTACTGCACCTGTAAAAATGACAGGGGCGCATGAGAACGTCTAAACAAATATATATGCCTAACACTGTATGAGCCTGTCTGTGGTTGTGGGCGTATACGAAAAGCAAAACGTGAATGAGAGCAGAAAATACGATTGAACGCATGCCTTTTCAACTGCACCGCATGAGCCGCCAATCAGCCCGTGCCTCCAGGCCTCCACTGGTTTTTCCGGAAAAAGCGTGCAATGCATGTCTGTATGCGTGACTGTGTGCGTACGCGCGTGCATGCATGTTGCATGCATTGCTGCTTACGTGCATGCAAAAATGCATGCGTGCATGTATTTTTGCATGTAAGGATGCAGCAACGCATAAATGCATATGCGCATGTATTTCCGCATGCATGTGCACTTTCATTCCCGTACACACTACGAGCGTTTTCTCAGGAGTGTTTGCATGCATCTGCATAAAGGCATTGCTGCCTTACCGGCATCGGAAGGGCAGCCACTGATTTTTCCCACTGTGAAAGCTCTTGAGGGTTTGAGGGGTCTTTGGGAGGCCTGCCCCCAACGACAAAAGTCGATGCTGTAACCCCAAATGAATTGCCTGCATCGTTTTGTAGGGAGGCTTTGTTGCTGGATCCGTCAAAGCTGTAGCACACACCGCAGCAGAGGCTATCATGCGATTTGTGCACATTCTGCAGTGGAAGCAGTGGTTGGCGTGAGGCGCAGTTCGCTCAATTTAAAAGGCTGTAGATTTGAGCCTTTCTTATTCCCATCGCTCACGAGAATAATTTAGATACGGCAATTTCAGCTAAGCCATTGCCCTTTTTAGTTTTGTTTAGAAGGTCCTGAGCGTGCTCCTTCAGGACGCGGATCTGCTTTGTTATCTTTCCTCCTGCAGCCATTAAGCAGGAGCAGCAAGCGAGCAGCGACAGCCATGGCCCTGTGTTGACGAAATAATCTAGATGCTTTTAATTCGCTGAAGCTACAAACCCGTAGCGTAAGAGGCCATCATCCCATCCCACCACATTCAGCACTAGCCTGGCTGGGGTTTCTAAAAGAAGCAGTATGAAGAGCACTGCAGAGCCGACCGCGATGCGCAACCTTGAGTAGCGTTACAAGGCCCACACACTAAGCCCTTACCAAAATAAGTATAACTCTAAAGGCTGAGCAGTAAGCCGTGGACCACAAAGCCACCAGCTCTTGGCCTTACCGAGCTTAATGTTGGTGGTAACATGTGTGCCGAAGTCAGAGAAGAATTCCATCCATTGCACGATTGAGGCGTCTGTACATCCTGTGGCTTGTGCATTACTTTTGAATATCTGTGGGGTGCATTTGCTGCCTTCTGGTGTATTCGGGAAACTGCTGGGGAGCTTTGCAACTGCCTTGTTAAAAGCTTCTGTGGTTTTGCTGCAGCAACAGCAGCAGAGCAGCCGCAGCAGCAGCAGCCACAGAATCCGCAAGGGTAAAAGCAACAGTCACACCAACCCACGTCTCTGGAGCCACAGTCATAGCCAGTGGATAAGCAGCACTTGCCACCCCAGGGGTAACACGCATCTTCAACACCCCTGAAACTCTCCTTTAGCGCTTCTTGCTGCTGCCGCCGTCACCAAATTCATATATGCGCTATAAACAGAAGCAGAAATGGACAGGTAAAGTTGCATTGCTACAGCTCGAGCTACCTGCTGGCTAGGCCAATGGCTGCGAAGCCTGCCTCATATCTTATGCAGTAGGCCCGCATCATAAATGTTTTATTCTGCTTCCGTAGAGACTCGTCGGCTATCTTGCGAAAGTTGAGGCTGCCGCTGAAGGGCAAATAGGGAAGCACTCCGTCCACTTGGGCGTCTGCCGTCAAATCCGTCACATAATCCTTCAGGCTCTCTATCTCCTCTATCTAGGACAACAACAAGCCGCAACCAACAAGCACAAACCTTTTAATCGACGAATAAAATGCACCAGGCTGGGCTGAGGAGAGTCGGAACAAGCAAACGCCGCCAAAAGGCCGCATGCTAAAAGCATACGCGCTAAACAATGAGCCCTGAGCTTCTAGCTCTATAAGCTGTGCCTGGGCCGTAGGCCCAACTGCCACACTACATGCCCTTGGCGCTTAGCCCGAAAATTCAGATTCTCAATTCTAGAGCCTCACCGTTTCAGCGGACTGGCAGGAGACGTAAGGCCGTATATATCCTCCCTTGGGCTGCAGAGTAGTTAGGTCGGCCGAGACTCCCTCTTTGTCGTGGCCCCAGTCAAAAGCTATCACAGGAGCCCTGAAGCCAGGGTCACCTGGAGTGTGGTCGTCTCCCAGGGGGTTTCCAAAGACCAAGTTGTAGCCAGAGCCCAGGAACCCTGAGAACGGCAGCAGCAACAGGGGTCCCTTTCGTTGCTCAGGCTGTCTGCTGTATTACCTCGTAGTATAATCTCGTATAGCATGTTATCCCTTTTTGCTGCTCTCAACTGTGTCGGCTCATCTGCGCATATATATGCAGTTGTAGATACAAAACTGTGCACGTGTGGTCATGTGCAATATGCTTATATATATATATATACATTTGCAAATAGGGGGTGCCTCAATTTCGTTTTTGTCGAAGAAGCATGTATCCACTGCCCTATACACTTCAATATAGCTGTTACTGGTGCGTCTGCCTAAAAGTGGTTCATCTGTGACGTGCATATTGCACTGTCTTCCGATTATACTGTAGACGCAAGGACAGGCAACCCCATTATCACACTACATATAGAGCATGCGGGAAATTCTCAACGCCATCGCAAGATCTGTTGCTTCATTTTGTGCTGCTTGCCGATCCCAGGTATGGTGTCCACTGCTTGAGCGTATATGTCTTCGTCGCTCTGTATAGACAGTCGAGGTCGGTGCACGGGGGCTTCTGAGGCAGATTCGACTTTTTTGGAAATCCACGCTGCACAAAAGAAAGACAACATACCGCTTATTTACCATTCACCAAGGAATTCGCGTTTGCCGGTTCGTACGCAATCACATAGAAATCACAAAGCCCGCAAAAGTATAAGTGAAGCTAAATGAAAGCACTCAAAACAAGAAAAACAAAATGATGGGAAAAGAATGCGTAGTCAACCAGGCATAAGTATAAGTTAGGGAGGCTCAAGAATGACCCACATCTATCCGTGCCCATATTCTCAAAATCCGTTGTGAGCGTTTGCTCCTTTCGAGTCGCGTACTGCTGCTGAGCGGACGTTAGCGCAACAACAAATTAACAGCAAGATCGAAATTATAAACAGAGCGTGTGTCTTCTTACCTATCTATCTATTGTTATGTGTGCTGTTGCTTCAGTAATAAAGAGATTAAAATGGCAAAAGCCATGCTGAAGCAGTATCACTGAAATGCGAAGTGGTGAGAGTTGAGGTGATAATGCAGTGGTGATTATGATAGTTGCACTAAAAATATAGTGATAATCACTCCAAACATTTGTAATGAACACATCGTTATCAAATCAGTATGTACGTGCATAGTTATTCCTTTATCTGCAAAAGTGTATATACATACACATTTATCTGCAAAAAAATGTGTACATGCAAAAGGGATATTTGCACATGCATGCAAAGCATGTGCACACTCAGTTGTTAACCTTATACAAGCTCGGTCTCTCGTCCAGTCAGCATAAGATTGTGCAGTGTCACTTTAAATTTAACGATGCACGCCCAGGGTGCCATGATACAGGTCTCTGCTTGAAACAGAGAATACGTATCCCTCGCAAGACTGCGTATGTAAGGTTCATATATATATATATATTATACACGCATGTGTATGCATATGTGTACATCCGTCTTTGTACGTATGTGTATCTGTGTATACATATATATATATATATATACATACAAATATATGGATATATACATATATGTATATACATATATACGTGTGTGTGTGTGTGTGTATCCAGATACGGAAATAGAGGAAATATCGCCGTCAATACTTTTGCAAATGCGTTTTCGTTTAGATATTTGGATTTGAACGCGAATAATACAAGCATGCATAGACGCAGCTAAACTAATCTATCCTGGCGTATGCCTATGTATACATTTGCAGCTATGTATGTACGTATAAGTATATATTGTAGTCTTACCTGGTCTGGGCGTTTGCTGGCACTGTACTGTTTACGCGAGAGTCTTTGTCTGCTCGTGCTTGAGGGTTTCATTATCTCTTCTTCCCCATAACTAATTTTTTTTCTGCTCGGCTCTGGGCTGTAGGTGTCATCCTCGTCGTCCGAGTCCTCGAAGAAGAAGGATGGCTGGGTAGACAGCTCGCCGGCTGGTTCGTTAGCTGGCTCGCTCGCTGTCTCGCTAGCCGTCTCGCCAGCTGGTAGGCTCTTTCTCTCCCAAGCTCGTTCCTCAGCTGTCTCTGTCGCTGGCTTGCTAGCTATGTTGCCAGCTGCCCCGCTATCTAAATTGCTAGCTGATTCGCTTGCAAAGTCATTCCGTGGCTCACTAGCTGCCTCGCTAGCTGCCTCGCTAGCTGGCTCACTGTCTGCGTGGCCAGCAATCTGGCTAGACAGCTCGCTACCTGACTCTGTGTCTGGCTCGCCGTTCAAGTGGCCTGTTGGTTCACTAGCTGGACCGTGTGGGGGCTCTTCATCTATTTCAGAGGCTGCCTCGCTGGCTGGAAAGCTAGGTGCATCACTAGCGTGGTCGACTGTCGGCTTGGCCGCTAGGTCGCTAGGTAGTTCAGCGGCTGACTCGGAAGTTGGCATGCTGGCGTGCTCGCCAGCCGACTCACTAGCGGGCTCACTAGCTGGCTCGCTGGCTGAGTTGACGCTTGTTTCGATTGCCGGCTGGCTATGTGGCTCCACATCTGGCCAGCTATCTATCTGGCCATCTGAATAGCTAGCTGGCTGGCTAGCTGGCTCGCCGGCTGGTTGATTAGGTGACTCGCTAGCTGTCTCGCTGGCTGGTTTGTTAGCCGGTCCGGTAGCTGGCTCGCTGGGTGGTTGGCTAAGTGACTCGCTAGTTGGCTCGCTGGGTGGTTGGCTAGGTGACTCGCTAGCTGGCTCTCTGGGTGTCTCGCTAGTTGGTTTTGTAGCTGTCTCTCTAGTTGGTTCGCTAGCTGGCTCACTGGGTGTTTGGCTAGGTGAATCGCTAACTGGCTCTCTGGGTGGCTCGCTAGTTGGTTCGCTAGATGGCTCGCTGGTTGGTACGCTAGATGGCTCGCTGGTTGGTTCGCCAGGTGGCTCGATAGTTGTTTCGCTAGATGGCTCGATAGTTGGTTCGCCAGCTGGCTTGCTGGGTGTTTGGCTAGGTGAATCGCTAACTGGTTCGCTGGGTGATTCGCTAGTTGGTTCGATAGGTGGCTCGCTAGTTGGTTCGCTAATTGGTTCGCTAGTTGGTTCGCTAGTTGGTTCGCTAGCTGGCTCGCTGGGTTGTTCGCTAGTTGGGTGGGTAGCTGACTCGCTGGGTGTTTGGCTAGGTGAGTCGCTAGCTGGCTCTCTATCTGTCTCGCTAGCCGGTCCGCTAGCCGGCTCGCTGGTGTATTGGCTGTCTGACTCGCTAGCTGGTTCGCGTGACTCACTGAACGGTACGCTAGCGGCTTCACTGGCTAGTTCGCTAGCCGGCTCGCTAGCTGGCTTCCCAACTAAATCGCTAGCTGGAAAGTCGACTGCTTCGCTAGCTGGATCATCATCTTGTTCGCTGGCTGGTCGGCTATCTGGCTGGCTAGCTGGCTGGCTATCTGGGTGGGCCTCGGGTTGGTCAACTGGCTCATTGGCTGGCTCGTGTGCTGAACCGTTGGTGGGGTCACTAGCTGTGTTGTTGGCTAGTTCTTCATCTGAGTGGCTAGTTGGTCTTCTGCCCCTGTGGATGGTGAGCTGGCCAGCTGGCGGCGTTTCTTTGTGGCTAGCTGGGCGGCTAGCTGGGCGAGCTAGCCCAGACCGTTGTCCCTCCAGGGCCCAGCCGTGCTCCGATGCCCATCCTTCTGAGTCTCTGGTGGCCCTTTGTACTGATGGGAGGTCTTCTGTGGGCTCCCTCGTGGCTGAGAGGTCCTCGCTGGGGGCGCCGTTGGCTAGGGGCCCCTGATGGGGCTCAGGGCCGTTGGGCTGGCGGTCCCCGTGGCTCCCTATGGGTGGGTGAAGGCTACGGACCAGGGGCTGATGGAAGTTAGTAAGGCGGAGAGCGTAGGAAACGGGGACTTGGTGGAGGCAGAAAAGAGCAGCAGCAGCTGTAGCTGCTGCTGCTGCTGCTGCGCGTCCGAGCGACGGCATGGGATGGGACAGCGGTGGGCAGCTGGAGAGAAAAGCGACAGCTACCTGTACACTTGCCTAACAATGAGTTGTATTTGAAGAAAACTCGAAGAAAAGACTGAAAGGGGTTGTCACTTTCAAAGATTTCGCATTGCTGCTGCTGCAACTGGCAGGGTGAGGGACGGTGACCAGCCACTGTGGCTGCTGGACATGTCAATGCCAATATCTTTCTTATTTGATACTGATGACAAGACGCTGATAATCTCAATTTAACTAGCACAGGTGTAGCTAGGGCTGCTAGCTGCAGCAGGAGGCCCTGGGTCAGCTGTTGCGGGCGGGCTTCGATCACGCCAGTAGGCCCCACAGATCTAGCCGATGCTTGGCCTCCCCTTAGGCGTAAAGAGCGGACTTGAGGTCATAGAACATAAAGTTTGGCAACAAATGTGCTTCAATTAATTTTATCAACTCAGTGTTTTCTTATACCATGCATAGACGCCGGGAAACGGCGCGCTTCCGCGCCCTTTCAACTGCGGTGGACTGTCAAGCCCGCGGACCACAGCACTGCAACCACCCTGAAAAGGGTTTTCATGTTTTTTTAATACTCTTTTCTGAATCAATTAAAATATTATGCTTGTATAAATATAATATTTGATTTTATTTACCTGTAGTTTGGGCACAAATAGGCCCTTGAGTGGAAAGGGACGCCCAGTGTAATCTCTAGACAGTGTCCCACACCGGCTGCACAGACCGCGCCACGCTTTCGTGTGTGTGTGCCGTGTCTAGGTAAATGTTTATTTTTCATTGTCATGATGTGTGCCTGAAATTGAAAACAACTTTGTTGCTCAAAGGAGAATAAAACAGCCAAACAAACGCACTACCTCATGCGCTCTAGGGCATGAGCTTGATACACCAGCACAGTTCCCCTTCTGCGTGCCGTGGCCACTGCCTCTCGCAGTCTGCACAAAACCCGGAGCCGTCGGCACTAAACTTTAAAGACTCCACTGTGAGTCTTCTTCAGTAGATTATGAACAGATTTATGGGATGCGTCGCGGGCGCCGCGGGCCATCAACCCCTCATATGGTCCACTGTACTTAATTTAACCTTTAATGCTGTCTTGCTTAGCCAGACCCTCAGGTCAAAGTCACCATTACTTTCCGGTTTCACTAACGCGGCACATGCAGCAACGACAGCAGCGGCAGCAACTTTCTACACGAGGCCGTTGCTGCGTACACGTCATGCTGCTGATCATCCGCCTTGCAAAAGTGGTGCCACAGAGTTTACCTTGACTGGATGACCATAAATTCATATATTTTTATTGAGCCCTCAACCCTAAATCGCAAAAAATCTGGTGAAAATTAGGAACCAGCTGCTGCGTGCTATCCACAGTGTGGTACGACGGCGGCCAGCAAAAAGTAGAGGGCCCGGTAATGCAGCGGTTGATGGGGGCCCCGTCGGTGATTTTAGCTTGTTCTCGCGCCTGCCTATTTCACTGCCTCGATTTATATTAGAAAATGCGAGCTCACCGCGGCAGCAATAGCAGCAGCTGCGGCTGCTGCAGCAATAGTCACGGGTCCATTCCGGCATATTGGGGTGGCTGAGGTGTACAAAAACCGCATCCAAGAGCTCTGAAGGTGTAGGCCAAGCTGAAAAGCAGTTGTTCAATACTTGAATGTTTTAACCGCAACATCGAATTTTTGTTTGGGACGCACACTGGCGGTTTGCGGGTCTTTTTACGTGCGAGCTCGCCGCTTTCATGAATTTCTATTTTTGCATTTGTATTTCGTGACCGTATCTAGAAGGCATAGACCAGCAGCCATAGTGAAGGTAACCCGACCAAAGTGTATGAATGAAGCTTATAAAGAGGGCTAGCCAGTGCCATAAGGAATACTTAAAAATAAAATTGACAGTTAGGAGCAGAGGGCACATGGCCAGCGGAAGCGTAGCTAGCACTTGTTCGTTTATCTACTTCAGCGTTTGCTTGGTCGGCGGTCTCTTCCCCCAGACAGCATGCAAAGGCGCAGATGCCACTGCGGCATGCACGCTGGAAGGCCCCACCCGTATTGCCTCTTTCTAGGGTTTAGAGTTTAGAGCTTACTACAAGTGCGCCGGTGGCATTAAAAGCTGTTGGAGCCGCGCTGGCGTCGACAGACTCCAGCAGCTGTTGCGAATATGTAAGAAGAGCTTCTTACAATATTCCTCTCCGCAATAGTAGTCACGCGCAACAAGCATGCACTGCTGTATATATAAATATATATACGTATTCATCCATGCATGGCTCCCTCCGACAAAACCCTAAATGCAATACTAGCAATAATGGCGCGAACGCCAATGCACGCAGCAACAAAGTTGCAGCGAGTGCACTTCGCGCGCGTAGCAGCAGTAAAGCCTATGTCAACTGCAAAAAGCGGTAAAAGTCAAAAAATCAGTTGGCGGAAGATTGGTCCCTGAGGCTCTGGCGCTTTCGCACCTCGCGCTTGCCCTCTTCATCTTTCTTTGCATGCGTTCTCGTTGCTTGGGCCTTCGGCTGAATCTGCAACAACAACCCCACCAAACCTCCACACCGAGCTCAGCAGCAGCCCTTGAGACACAATCGAGGCAGCGCTAATCATGGGCGATCACAATAAGGGTCATTAAGGTACTGCAGCAGCAGTAGCAGCAGCGGTTGCTGCACCGTCTGCTGCTGCTGCTCCTCCCGCTACTTACTTGGAACGTTACTCTGGCCCTAGCTGAGCCTGCCTGGTTGCGACAGACAATTACGTATGTCTTTCTGGGAACCCTCAAGGGCCTCACGACATCGCTGGCTTCATCCGCGTGGTAGGCTGCTGCAGCCTCAGCTGTAGGCTGGTACACGCCTGAGGCAACGAAAGGAGGAAACATGTCAAATAATAGTAGTGGCAATAATAGTCACTGATAATAATAATAATAGCAATTATAATGATTACACTAGGAAAAATTATGGTAGACACGGAGACGACAGCAGACAGCAAGAGGCTTGGATGACTGCAATAGCGCTAGCTGCGTGGCCATGACAATAGTGACGATCGATTTAATATAACGTTGAATTTGCTAGTTATTTTATTCATTTTATATATTTTGGGGTCAGAATACGGCCAAGAAGAAGGCAAGGCAAAACTGGCATTAGAGCTCTTTGAAGGGCGCCAACAAAGGCAGCAAGACACACGTTCACAACAGTGAGCAGCAGAAACTATCAGAAAACAGAAGCACCTGGCGACAAGGAGCAGCAAGAGAGCGAATAAAGAAACAAATTAAGTTGCTCAGTTTGAGGACGTACGGGATGCTGGGTCGTGAGACTTCGTGAATGCATGCATTAGCTGCGCACTCATGTCACCTTCATCTTTGGCCGGAATTATGCCTTCGATTATCCCTGCGTACAAACCCTAAAGCCTGACCCCCAAGCCCTGAATCCTGTATCCTAAATCTTTACAGCTAATCATATCCTTGATTCACACGCTCACTACAAAGAAAAGAAAGCCGGGATATATCTGTTACTCAAAAAGCAAAAGCAGCAGCACCGGCGATCCCAACAACAGCGTTATGACCCCTTCACTTTAAACAGCAGCAGCGGAAGCATTGCTATCCACAGTAGCAGCCCTTTCCCTACACCCCTCCCACTGCCTCCTCCCCCCTAAGCAGCCCCAGCAGCAGCAGCAGAGGCAGCAGCAGCAGCACACACCAGTTTGTCGACTGAAAACCAGCCCTGTTTGGGGTGGCAGCCTCGGCGTAATGGACCACCGCAGCTGGGTACGGTCCACTCTGCCGGACACCGCAGGCTCCAGGCGGACATAAGACCCAGGGGCAAAAGTCACGCACGGCCTAGGGTCCTCAAGGTCAGGCCGGTAGCGCCGGGGTACGATGTACCGCAGCTGCAGCACAGCATATGCGTGGAGCATAACGCTTTCTTGTTGCACCCATATGACATCTATTTGCATTATATAGAACGCATATGATTGCACATACATGCTTATTTCTGCATGCACAAGATGAATGCGCGTGTTGTGTGAAGTGGCAATTGCAGCACGAGAAGTAACAGCAGCTGCAAAACAGCCAAAGTACTAGCATTGGCACCAGCAAGAGCAGCATGGCGGACAGCAACAGCTGTCAGCAGCAGCGGCATGACCCGCAGCAAGCAAAAAAGAGCATGTTCTCAGTCAGTTTCCGCAGTAGCATCGGCAACAGAAAAATGAGAAGGTATACCTTAAGCGGCTTCCCCTCCTTCGAGGTAGGCTCAGGCTTGTAGGCTTCTTGAAGCTCCTCTACTTGCTCCTTAGCCCTCGACAACTTGTCTCCCATAATGGACTCAATGTGTTGCTTCATCTTTTGTTCCACCTCTTCAGCCTCTTGGGAGGCCCCAGACTGGAGGCCCACCGCGCCCAGCACCGCGAGCATCGACTGCACAGCGGTGCTCACCCCGCTCTTCAAACTCTGCAGCAGCAGCAACAGCAGTAGCAGCAGCGGTAGGCGAGAGGGTGAAGCGAGATGTGAGGACACTGCGAGACTGGACTAGGGAGCACGCATGCGTTATTTTGGGGCCGCTTTTTAACGCTTGCTTTGCATGCGGCGCCCCCCCTCGCTTGTTTGTTTCTATGTCGGCGGCTCGCATGCGTTAGCCTTTGAACTTCTGTGCCTACTATGTCCTTCTGTTTGCCTGTCTGTGTCTGAGTCCCTTCGCTGGCTGCGTTTCTTCAAGGGGTTTGCCCTAGATTTTAACGTCTAGGGTTTAGAGTTTGCTACTCAAGCAACTGTTCCTGAGGCGTATATGAGATGCCTGTCAACGCTGGATACAGCAGTTTGGCCTGCTAAGGCGCGTTGAAAGTGATGTGGGTGTACCTCGAAGCTGGAGAAGGCGAGTCCCAAGAAGCCGAAGAAAGCCAGCAGCCCCAAAGTAGTGAGGCAGAGAACGAGCAGCATGCGATCTAGGGAAAGGCCCACCTCCTGAAGGACCAGGAGGGGCATGAAACGGCCAAAGAGGACTTCGAACCCGCTGAGGAGTTCGCTGAGGGAGAGGCTGAGGTCGTGGTTGATGTCCATGAGATCGAACATGCGTTTGATGTCTTGTTCGGGCATTTGAATGCGCATTTTGTGAATGACGTCTCGCAGCATGGCGAAGCTCATGCCCTCCACAGACAAAGAACTCAAAATAGACCCCACGTCTTCCGGCTTTATCAGCCCAAAACGATTCGTCCGCCTCTCCATAGACTTCAGCACCCGCTCCAGCCGCGAGTTCGGCACCTCCAGCTGCAGCGCCAGCGTCAGCAGCACGCGGATCGCCTCGGGCCACAGACCCGTCATCAACAGCCTGTTTTTGCAGCACAGCGAGCCAGCAGGCCTCGGCAGCTGCTTCATTTACGCGGGTGCAAAACAACTTGAGTGAGCAGCTACAAAAAACCGAATAGCCGACAGGATAGCCCCCGTTTCTGCTGCTAAGAGCTCATAGCCAGCGCTGGCTATAGGGCCACTTAAAGGAATTTTGCCAATTAAAGCAGAGGCACCGGCAACACAATGGGGCAAGACGAGCAAAGAGGCACGACTGACATCAGCAGAACTGCCTATGTGCAGCAACTCAGACCCTACTTGATAGCCAATCTCTAATTCACGTCTTTGCAACCAAATCTTAATTACCATTCTCCGCAGCCAAATCCAAACTCTTTGCAGCCAAACCCTAATTATTAGCTTCGCAGCCAAACCCTAATTAGCGCCCTCCTCAGCCGAGACCTCCTTAACAGCCTCCACAGCTAAAGCCTACTATTATCTAAGCTTTAATTAACATCCCCTCCAGCTAAACATTCGTTGAAAGGCTCTTTAGCTAAACCCTAGCAGCAAAACTCTTCTCAACTGCCTACCGGGGCAGCTTTTTGCGGAGGCACTCTATGCTGACGACTCGGCCCTTGGTGGGGTCCATGCCCAAGGTGTCCATTTCCAGCCTCAAGTACTTAGTGCGAATCGAACCCTCCAGAAGCCCCGCGGGCAAAAAGTCTGTCACATCCATGGGGTCCTTGGGCAGTTCATCCCACAGGGCGCGGGCGGCCTGAGAGTGGCACGAAAAGAGCAGTTGCAGCAAGCCGTTATTGCTACGAAGCTGCTGCTGCTGAGTAGCAGCATCAACAAGCTCCAGAGGGACTTATACCATAAGAAAGCCAGAAATAATGCAGGCAAGAAAGAAGCCGAGAGAGACGAAAAAGCGAAAGGTGCTGGCGACTGCAATTCAGAGGTGATTTCTTTGTCCTCTTCCGCTATATTCAAATAAATGTTATTTGTGAACTAAATTGAGCTGGCCGCCCCTTTGAGTAGTGCCGAAATGAGACAACTGGCAGCAGCATAAGAGCAGGAGCAGATGGCATTTCGAAGGCAACGCCAAATATGAATAAGAAAGGAAGAGGCTCAGGAAAAGCAGAAAGACGTCAGGTGAATAAACAACGCAAAATAATAAAACACTTTCCCCTGCAACACAAGAATGCAACAATGTTCCGCCAAAAGCAAACCTCTGACCAAACTGCAGGTATGCACTTTTAGGTATGCAGAAACAATGATATGCCCAAATAGTAATGCACAAGCAATGCAAAAATGCATATACATTAAGCATGCGCCTATAAATACCGTAAAATCACTTGCTGGGAAAGCGACAGTATGAAGGACAACAATAAAAGCGCGTGTACATGGCAGCAGGAACAGCAACAGAATCCCCGTCATTCACAGGAGGACGAGAAACAACCATAAAAAGGCATATTGACGAACGGGATTGGCCGCAAGTATTACCTTTTGCATATATGCAGACCTGCATGCGTAGGCTTGCAAACAAATACAATACATGCAACTGCACACAGATTTATATGTACATATGTACCCATTTCGAGGAGCGTCTACTCATTGATAGATATGTATAAATGCAAGTAAAATTATTTACTCTGTCTGAAATGACAATGTCAAGTTGCCTGAGTATGCGCCTAAAGATGACGAAGGTGACAAGCCCCTTGTAGCCAACAATGTTTGAAACTGAATCCCTGTTGAGAAAGGGCTTGCCGAGGGCAGTAAAAGGCTGTAGATACACCCTAGTGATGCCCAGCTTCACGTCTCGCTCCGGCAAAAACTGCTGAATCTCGTCATAACTGTCAAAAGATATCATTATCCACAGCATGCGTGAGTGGCGATGGCCAACGCTCAAGCCCAGCTTCACTGCCACACGGTGAAACATCTCGAAAGATACCATGCGCATGCCCTGGAGCAGCAAAAAGTTGGTACAGCAAACACAGCAACAGCAACAGATGGAGCAGCAGGAGCGAATGCAGCAGCACAAGCAATTGCAGATGCCGCAGCAGAAACTATCAAAAGCAGTTCAGCGCCTACTCCAAGGATGAACTGGAATTTACTGACCCCAGAAGGCAAAGATTTAAATAGGTAACCAGCAAAGCAAGCCAAAAAAATTTGTGCTTTTGAAATAAAGCTGTAGTGCTAACGGTTTGACGCATTTGGAATACAAGAATTCATATCACCACCTCACCACCAGCTAACACTATCTCTGTGCCGACACAGTCAAACGTGTGTCTAATATGAACACATGCAGATTCAAAAAGGTAATAATGCCTATGAAATATGTACACATGGCGCCTAGAAATACATGCATATGCACATGCATACATGTATGTATACGCATGCATATATTATACGTATATTTGAGCATATTTATGCGTATAGAAACACATATTTGCAGCATATTTGAGCTGCTGCTGCTGCCCACCTCCTCCATGGCGTCCAGAGCAAGGTCTCCAGGGACTGCCTGGAAGTCGTCTCCTTCTGCGGCTCTCATGGCTACGTCTCTGTTGACAGTGCCCAGCTGGGTGATGCCTTCCTTGGGCCCGGCTTTGCGGCCCCTGAGTCTGTCTCTGCCTCTTCTAAGTTCGGAGATCTGCGGCTGAAACAGCTTGTGGATCTCCTTCACGAACTCCACCATTTGACTCTTTCCCATATACCCCGGGCACGACGCCGTCAGCTTTTCAAAAGCACGAAACATCTCCGGAGTCCACCCAGGGTCGTGTCGAAACTGAGTCCAGTCGATGATCTCGCTGACCGTCTCGCCTGCGCGCCGCCACCGCCACAGCAGCAGATTAGTGCATTCATATACACCAAAATCAATGTGAAACATTTGCGAAAATATAATTCGAAAAGGAAAACTTGTATAATGCGCCAATATGTGACTATGATTGTGTGTGTGCATACGCATGTACATCAATTGTGTATAAAATATGTATACACATATATACGTACAAGAATACATGTTTATGAAGACACAAATATATAAGTACGAATGAACACATAAATATTGAGGCAGTTAATTTTGTATTCACAAGTGCAGTCTGGGGGAACGCACTGGAAGCCTGAATGTCGCAGACTGCGGAGTCCTTTCGGAGTCCGAGTTTCTCGAGGGCGCCGACGGCGTGGCCCCTTTCGTGTACGTACACCGAGCCGATCTTGAGCTGCTGGAGGCAGCCGACGACTCCTGAGAAGTTCAGCCGGTTGTCCGTCAAAAGTTGAATTGCTTCGTCGACCAAGTCCAGTGGCAAGAAGCCTGACCAGTTTCCCAGTTGGTGGAACACGCTCCGCAGCCGCTCCAAGTTGCTTTCGTAACGCCGCCGCTGCCGGTCTTCAGCAGAGCTCATCACTGAACAAAAGCCCCCGCATCCGAACAAAAGCAACTACAGCAAATGCACTTGCTCCAGCGGTTGCTGCCGCACGTGCTGCTGCACATGCTGCTGCTGCAGGTTCCGCCGCAGCAAATTCTGCTGGAGATGCAGCTACAGATGCTGCTACAAATGCTGTGACGCTGAATGATGCTACGAATGCCGCTGCATTGTGTGCTGCTGCGAATGGTGCGGCTTTGAATGCTATTGTGAGAGCTGCCGTCAACACTGATGCAATAGATGTGACTGTAACTGCTGCAGCTGCTAATGCTGTTGTTGCTGCTTCTGGGATGATGGCACGGGGGGCACGCGAGTTTTGGCTTTTCTTCTGCTTCTGCTGCTATGGGACGCTGCTGCTGCTGCGTTTTACTGCTGTGTACTCTGCTGCTGCATCAAAACCAACTAGGATGGCAGCCCTTTGACCCCAAACCCTAAACCCATTGCGCTAAAGCTGCAACCCTACGTCTTGAACCTCGGTCTTCTGATACTTTCTCTGAATCTCTGTCGCTAACTCCATCCATCTCAACAGCACCCCCAGGGAGCTCATCCACAGACAAATTGTTTCCGAGCAGCTGAACCAAGAACTGGAAGCCTGATAAAAATAGAAGCATATATGTGCATACACAAATGCATATAAAGTTAGTTCTGAGCCAACTCATGGTTATATGCATGCGCATGTGTGTGCATGCATGGTTATACATTCATACATTACATTTGTACAAGAATAGCTAAATGGAGTTCTGACCCGTCTCAGGAATATACGCCCATGAAAATACACTCTCGTGCTCTTTTTATTAGAATGCCAAAATGCTTGAACATGAGAATAGAGCAATGCACGCACGAGCACGCATGCATGCAACGGTCTGCATAGCAAGATGCGTGAGGCTGGCTGAAAATGTGGAATATTCTTGCGGCATTCCCCGAAGCGTCAGTCGCATCACTGCAAGCAACATTTTGCTTCCTGCTGCTCCTAATGCTGCTGCGTTTTTTAACTGTTGCTGCTGTCTTTCTGTGTTCCTGCCGTATGAAGTGCATGCACAGATTTGTTCACGTGTATATTTATGGGTATGCAGACTACATATCCTACGCATATATGTTTACAAATACATTTGCTGGTTCGCGCACATGCATGCATTTTCAAACAAATACAAGAAGGCATGCATCCGTCATGTGCTCATGTAATCCCCAATGCGGGCACTGCCTCTTCTGCAGGTGTCTTTGTTTGAGTAAGAAATTGTTGCAGCTGAGCCGTGGCACAAGAGCCAGCTGTGACATATTTACTATTATTCAAGAGGAATCGTGTAGGGATTCAGAAACTCACAAGGCAGCCACAAATATCTTTCCGAAATGTACTTCAGCACCTGCACAACGTGGGTGGTCGAGTTCATCCGCTGCAGACGGCCGCCCAGCTGCTTGTCTATGGCCTCCACCACCAGCTTCAAGCAGGCCAGCTCTGTGGGCTGCAGGATCTTCATCTGCATGCGCATGCGCCAAGTCCACAAAAGCCAGACAAAGTGCATACAAATTTGAAAATATGGTTTGAGGGTGCGAAACATGCAATTTCTTGTATGGCGAGTGCAGCGGGAGAGCTGTGGTAGAAGAATTGGCAACAGAAAAACTCGAAACAAGAGCATCCACAAATATCCACATAATGATACAGCCACAAGACATAAGTTGCGATGCGGAACGTATACATATGTACGTAATGTATTATAATGCATATGTTGCACATATATACTATTAAGATAAACAAAACTAGTGAGTAGCGACACTAGGCAATGAAGTGGAGCAAATGCATTGGCCGGCTTTGCGGAAAGCAGCAAAATAATGCCTTCGGCGTCCTTCTTAGTGAAGTCATATTATCAGTGCACACTAGATGAATAAATGCGGATGCACACGAGTAAGTTAATGCGAAAATAGCTATAGAGTTGCATGAGGTGGCCTGAGACAGGAGTAAGAGGAGCCGGGCAAAAAGGCACAGGAACTGGGAAAGTGCGCCTGAAAGTCTAGGCCCCTAACCTGTAAATTAATGAACCGCGAGCATTTCTTATATATTAAGACTATATATATATATATATATCCGCGAACTTAAACTTCGCTGATCAAGCCAAAAGATATACGCGGAATATCTACACAGCACAGTACGAATTGGGTCAACTCGAAGCAGCTATTCAGAAGTAAGGAAGAAAAATAAAAACGATGAAATTGGTGAAGAACACAGTGGTTTCTTTCTGCGAGAGGCGCATAGGCAACGACTTCAGAACAGCAACAGAGTACTACTTGTACGTATACCACGCACCAACACCTCTAGAGTTGAAATGCACCCTTGAAGTGGACCACAGCGAAGTACAAGTCAAGCTATGGACATGAGCATAAAAGGTTGTTTTGAACAACGAGAAGTACAAATTTTCAAATTGCGTATATACAATACACTTAAATCCATCCTTAGTGCGGAATATCCACCTCTCGGATGGCGGCGCCCTCAACAATGAGCTCCAGATCTTCCTCTTGGACTTGTCTCGGTTCAATAATCTGGAGGTCCACTAGGGTTTTCATGATGAGGTGGACCTGGAGCTGCTGCTGCTGAGAGCCCTGGGCCTTGGCTATGAGGGCCAAAATGTCGCGAATTTCGAAATCTTTTTCAATTCGGTAGCGCTGCAAAGACCGCATGAGCTGGTTCGCCGTCTTGGGGGGCGCGCTGGTGAGGGCCTCCTGGTTGCTGGGGTGTACATCCGCCCTGGAGAGCTCGAGGCTGCTGTTCAGCAGCCGCGACGCCTTCATAGAAACCTTTTGAGGCATTACATTGTCGAAATAGTCTTGAATGCCGCTGCGCACGTTCAGCGTGTCAAACATTTGCGCATGCACCAGCCGGAACTGCCGAGTCAGCTCCTGGTAGAACTCCACCTGGATTACCTTCAACAGGGTCACGAAACGGTCCTCCTGAGACGCTCAAATCTCCAGAAACCCTCAACCGTAAACCCTAAACCCAAAATCTTAAACCATTTGACCCTGCACTTTAATATCGATAACCCAGTCTCGCACCCGAGCCATGCTGCAGCTTCAGGGCCTGCAGCCTGGTTGTGGGTCTAGTTCAGTCATCTTGAGACCTGAACCTCAAGCCCTTTGTTGCGGAGACAAGCACTGAGCTCTAAACCCTAAACCACGCTTGCGGGGACGTCGAGCCCAGCGCTGCAGGTGCAGCTTCTAAAGCCGTGGGCCTGAGTCGGCGCGTCTCAGCTCTTTAGCTGCCTCTTTCACATCCCGCACTGGCTCCCCGCTAGCTACTTCGATACTTTGGCCAGCTATCTATCCTATTTCTCCGGCTAGCTAGCTAGCCAAAGAAGCAGCCGGCGAGAGGAACAGCAACTAGCTAAAAGAAAAAAAAAGCTGCAGCAAACTGACCTTTCTAGCGCCCGGAGCCTCTTCGCTGCCAAGCCCCGCATAACCCGCAGAAAGCGCTGAACCCGCCCGAGCCAGTCTTAGAGAGGGGGCGGAAGTGCCCAGGACGGCCTCTTTGCCAAAAACGGGAGACAGCAGCAGCAAATGTGTCTCCAGGGTCTTCGCCGCCAAGTAAGGCACAGAAGATATCAGCTCGTCCACAGCCCTGAGCGCCAGCAGCCACGGGGACTCACCAGAGGGTTTCGGATAGTGCAAAAAAAATAAAGCAAAAGACGAAAAAGGCAAGGAGACAGTCTCTCGCCATTTCGGGCTCGCCAGCACTTATTTCATTGCGGCCGTCTGCAAGCAGCTGCTCCGTGACTCCTCCAAATCAAATTCTCTTTTGTGCCAATTGCGATCAAGTTTAACGGTTGGCTGTGGCTAGCTGTGGCTGGTTGTGGCTAGCTGCGGCTAGCTGTGGCTAGCTGTGGGCAGTTTGCAGCTCGGCCAAGGCTCACTGTCCCCTGTTTTCCTGAGTGACGTAGTTGTAGATGAACTGCAGCTTCCTGGCGTTGATTTTGGACTTGAGCTCATATTCAATTCTGTCTTCTTCAGTGTTGGCGATGGCGTTGCGGTCTCTGCCCTCATCGTCCGCCTCCTGCGGGGCCCACAGCCGTCCCAGCAGCAAACAGCGGGCTTCAGCAGCAGCAGCTGCTGCTGCTACTTGCGCCGCAGCAGCAAGTCCAGCGGCAGGAGCAGCAGCCACGGCATCGCCCGCGGCAGCAGCAGCAATGAATGCAACGGCAACATTAGCAGGACCTTCACGAGCAGCAGCAAAGCCTGCAATGGCCTCGTTAAGCAACTGCAGCACAGACTACAGCAACCCTATCAGCAGCAACTGCAGCAGCCGCAGGAATTCCTGCAGCAGCTATATGGACGGCAGCAGCTGAAGCAGCAGGGCCTGCATCATCATTGAGCCCGAACCACAGCAGCGTTGCCTGGAGCCGCCTCATAAGGATCAACTGCAGCAGCAGCAGCAGCAGCAGCAGCTCTTCCTGCGATTACATTGGGCATGTCCTCGTCTTCTTCGTCTGTGGTCTCGTCAATGTCTGAGGGCTCGCTGGCCGAAAGCTCCAGGCTCTCGTCGCTGAGGCGGTCCAGCTCCTCCATGTCGAGATCGTCGGCTTCCCCGGGCCGTAGCGTGGGGAACAGCAGCTCGTAGTCGCGGTCCAAATCGCCTGATGCGCAGCAGCAGCAGCAGCAACAACAACAACAGCAGCAGCAGCAACAGCGAAAGGTACTGCGATGGGACCGTGGGGGGGCTCAGCGCTGTTGCGGCAGCGATGCGTGGAGGCACACGAGGAAATTCAGAGGAGTTTTCGATCAGGAGTTAGGCTAGGGTTTGGGACTAGGGTTTAGGGTTGGGGCTAAGCGCTTGGGATTAGGGCTAGGGCTTAGGGTTTCGGGCCCACCCGACTGTAAGCTGTATATCTTGACGAGATCGTGCAGGGATATTCCCACGGCGGGGTCGATGTTCGTGTTGACCGCATCATTGTAGTACTCGCAAAGTTGCTCCCACTGGGTCTGCAGATGTAAACCCCAAACCCTAAACGGTAAACCGTAAACTCAGCCTTGAACCCTAGTTAGCTTGCCGGTTGCGGCAGGGCCTGTTAGCAAGCTCTGTGTCGCTCTCCTTGACTCCCCGTCAGTTTTACCAGGTCAAATCTAATTATCAGCCAGCTGGAACCGTACACCCTAAACCGTAAACCCTACGCCATAAGCCCAACTCTCTACGAACGAGCCTAAACCCTAAACCCTAGCCACTGGCCCCCATAAAACGCACAAGCTCAGTGTCGCTGCCCTTGACTCTCCTGAGGAGGGCCAAATAGTTCTTCGCGGTGAGTTTGTCTTTGTGGTCGTCGACGAACTTGTCGAAAATAAGCTGCACCTTCAGCATCTCATCCAGCTCTTCCGCTGGCGGGTATTTCGGCACAGCAATTATGGCCTGGCTGTAGCTGGTGTTCGGCGCAGGTGACGTGTCCACTTTGTAGCTAAAGAAGCAACAAGAGAGATACAGCAAAAACGCAGCAGCTGCTGCAACGCTGCAGCAACAGCTAGTGCCTTGCTGCTGCTGCAGCAGCCGCAACAACGGCAGCTGCCCTGTGGCTGCTGCAGAGGTCGCATGGCACCTGACGCTAGAAAGAAGGCTAAAGAAAGCAGTGTTTCTCTGGCAGCTAGAGTCACAGATTAATAGCCCAGCAAGCCCTCCTGCTGCCGCTGCTGCTGCTGTTGCTGCTGCTGTTGCTGCTGCTGCTGTAGCTGCTGCTACGCGCCGTTAGCTCACCCGTATCTGGGCCCGTACTTGACACCGTCCTTCAGCAGCACGGAGTCCCACCCCGTGAGCATGTCCTCCACGCGTTCGCTGTGGCGCTCCACCTCAGCGCAGGTTGCGAACCGTGCTGCAGCAGCAGCAGCAGCAACAGCGATGACCACTGGCAGCTGCTGCGGAATTTAAGTTGACCCTAAACCCTCCCCCGTGCGATTCAAACACTAAACCCTATAACTGCGTGGATTGTGGTGCCTACAGAGTTCAGAGTTCAGCATGTGGCCACACACGACCACTTCGGCCTGGGACGTCAGCTGCAGCAAATGCATCTCTGCCCTACCTAGGACACTAGGACCCGTAGCGCTTAGGGTTTAGGGTTTAGGACTGACCTCCATCGGGCAGATTCGGGATTGCATGCAGCCCCGTGGCGACTCCGTTGCTGTCAATGCTGAAGGCGTTTTCAAAGGGGGCCACGACTTTTTCGTAGACGTAAGTTGCCAGCTGAGGCGGTTAAGAGTGTAAACACATTAAGCATGCCTATTAATAAATATAATAATAAATGGAAGCATATGCCTTTATGCGTACGTAACTTGTGTACATTTAGGTATATTTTGTATTATTTCTGTAGCCGTGGGAGTGAGGGTTTTTCGCTGGCCTAATCCCTTGGCTAAGCAGCACTGCAGTTGCCACTGCAGGTGGTGCTGCTGCGCCTTCTGCTGCTGCTGCTGCTGCTGCAGGTGCGCAAAAGATTAAGAAGTGTCTAGCCACTGATGCTGCATTCTTAGTTGCAACTGCATATGAGCTTATCCAGGAAGTGTTGTTGCAACAAACTAATACAAGATAATGTGGGTGTACTGAATTCATGGAACAACATGGGTACAGATAGGAAGCAATTCTGTCTGTGCAGCATAGATGCGGTGCAATGAAACGCCAGGTTGAATGCATAAGATTAAGGCTTGCGTTTACTTTTTCTTTTTTCCTTTTCATCCCCGCCGAGCCAAAATGCTTCAAAGAGCTTCCGGAGCGGCTAGAAAACGAATCAGACTCCTCATGGACATAGCCAAGTTGAAACTCTCTTCGCATGCGCATCCTGGCCTCCTGAGGGGCAAACAAGCCGCAGAAGCGAACGAACAACAAATAAATAAATAATAATAATTGATTAAATGACTCAAAATGAGGGAAAACGGCTTGAAGCGTACATAACGGGACCCATCCAGCAATGCAAACACTAATGAGCGGTTGCATTTGTCTGAGTGCATCGCTCAGCGCCATTTGTAGAGAAAATAAAACTAGACAAAAAATGAGTCCACGTTCGTCAAATACATCAAGTACTCAGGTGTATCTACATTGATGTGAATGGCTGCAGCTATGCAGATTCAGAGATATATATGTATAAATATATTTTAGCATATTTGTGTCCATCTGTGTGCACGTATATGCATACATGAAATGCACATATTTACATAACTGCCACAAATACACATGCATACAAAAATATATTCGTATACGCAATGCAACTCCACAGAATATCTGGACGCAGCCCACATTTGCCTAATCACATACACAACTATCTATGGACAGGGCCTCTATGCAAAATTTGCAAATATACATTTACCAATAAGCACATTCACATGCAAACACATAGCATGCATGCAGTAAATATAAAGGAATGCAGAGCCTGCGCACCCGCAGCTCGTCTCGAATTTTGTCTCTGTAGGCTATGAGGGTCTCGTCGGCCACGAGCTGCTCCTTGCCCGTATAGGTGATGTTCGTGTGGGCGAACCAGTGGTCCAGTGCGAGCGAGAGCAGCAGCTGCATGTTTTCTTCAATGTAGCGGCTCACAGACTCCTGAGGCCCAGTCCGCACAAACCCAAACCCTAGAACGCCTACTTGCAAGTCCACAGTTCCGAGCCTGGAACCCCAGCCCCTAGGGTTTAGGGTTTAGGGTTTGCGCGGCGTGGACCGGCGTCAGCAGCTATCGCCCCTCCGCTTGCGTTGGCCGCCACCGCATGGAGTTTAGGGTTTAGGGTTTAGGGTTTAGAGTTGCGGTTCACCCTCGAGGTAACGAAGTTGCTCCAGAGGAAGTAAATGACGAAAGTGACAGAGCCAAACATGGCGGCGTAGGGCAAGAAGGAGTCAGAGTTGACAAGGGCCCCCAAGAGGAACCAAAGAATGAAAGAAGAGACTCCCAAAGTCACCGAAAAAAGAGAAACTGTCAGAAATATGCTGCCCAAGACGTCCACGTGCAGCATCAGCCGAGGCTGCTCATCCCGCAGGAACGCGCTGCACTCAAGCATGCAAAAGCAGCAAAAAGAGTCAAGAAGCAGCGCAGCAGCAGAGCCAAGAAGCACCGCAGCAGCAGAGCCAAGGAGCAGCGCAGCAGCTCCAAAAGCCCTTGAGCTTCTTAAGAGCAACAAAATGGCATATTTTTGCATCTTTCTAGGGTCTGTGCAGGCGCGAACCATTCTGCGCCAAAGTTTGTCTGAAAGTGCATTTATTCATTTATATATATGTTTAACATGGAACATCTGTAATATATTTCTCTGTATGTAGATGGTGTGTGTAATATCCATGACCAATATGTGCAACACGTAGTGTAAATAACGTGTGTAATTTGTAAAATATATGCTCCGTATAAGGTACATACAACCGAGTGCATGTAATAAACATAATACATGTAGTAAGTACAATATAATTGCACTGATATAACGCATGCATGTGTGCGCGAGACAAAAAGCTGGAGACCAGGCACAACACAAACTCATGCGCATGCATGCACAGATGCATGTTTAACATGTGGCGTGTTTTTGAGCTCAAGGACGAAGAAAATGCATGAATAGGAGATACCCGGGCATCAAAAAAACCAATAAATGAACAAATGACTTGAATAATTCCACTCTTGTGGACAGCAGGGCACTGTTGCAGTGGGCTTGCGGACTTGAAGAAAATTGCGACAGTCATCACCAAAAAGTGCAGCCCGGCGAGACAAAAGATGGAAACACCCCAGGGGCCCAAGTTGGAGAGAGTCTTCCAGGAGACATCGAAGGCAATGTCGGGCAAGAGCGAGACAGTGTTGTCGTCGGCGCTGTCTGAGTCCACTTTCTGCAGCAGCAGCAGCAGCAGAAAAAGAAATATGGAAATGAGCACCAATTGTCTCTGAATATTATTTGATTCATTTATATGTGTTCGTTTGCAGTGAAGACAAGAAGATCACGTGGAGCCAGCTGCGAAAAAGACAAATAATACTAATTCAAATACCAAGAACAATAAGAATAATAGCGATACTAATATAACAATAACAGCAACGAAAATAATTATAATAATGGGCGCAGACAGGCGCAGCCGGCGCAGCAAAAGGCACAGAGGAAGAAATTCAAGAAACGGCGAATTCGCAGAGCATATAAACAATCTTCCCAAACGAAACGGCGAGCAGCAGCAGCAGCAGCAGCTTTCTCTGCGAACTTGGCTAGCTGGCCAGCTGGCTAACCGGCTAGATGAGCAGCTGACTAGCTGGTCATCTGGCCAGCGGCCTGCTGGCTAGCTCAATAGCTGACTAGCTGGCTAGCTGGATATCTACCTATCTGGTTTAGTGGCTAGCATTGTGCTGCTTAGCAGAGTAGCTGACTAGTTGACCAGGTGGCTAGCTGGCTAGCTGGCTAGCTGGCTGGCTGGCTGCCGCTGGGCGGCTCGTTCGATGGCTAGCTAGCTGCTGCAGCGGAACTCACGGCGAGGGAATGGCAGTCGTAGAGGTAGAGGGAGACGAGGAGGACTGGGAACCCGTAGCCGATGGCTAGCTGGAGACAGACGAGGAGGAAGTTCACGAGGTTGGGAAGAACAACAAACTCTGCAGTTCTGCTGCTCATGAAGCGCGGCAAGTCCGTCAGCAGCGAGTCCCAGCGCCTGCGGCTGAGACGGCCCACCCCGCGCGCCCGCCGAATGGCTTTGCCCAGCAGCCGCAGCGCCTTCTCCATCACCACGTTGTTGTAGCACAGGCCCATGTTCAGCAAAGACACGTCTGGAGACTGAGTCCACCACTTCACGTCTTGGCTTATTTCAATGTTCTCGATTATCCGCACCAGGCGAGACACAGACCTAAACGTCACCACCAGCAGCAGCAGCAAAAGCAGCAGCAGCAAAAGCAGCAGCAGCAGAAGCGGTAGCGCACAATATATACGCACATACGTCTTAAACATACTAGTATATGTATATATATATATATATATTTGTGTGTGTGCGTATGTGTGTAGTATATATACATATATATCTCGTATGTACACATACAAGGGCGTAAGCATTCATATGTCTCTGGAAATTCAGAAAGAGAAATTCAAATAAAAAGTAGAAAAGAATTGTGCGAGCATCGGGCGGCCCTGGTTATGGAAGGCGCTGTTATCCCCACACGAAACACCTTAAAACCTAACCAGCAGCTCGCAAACCCTAAACCCTAAACCCTAAACCTTAAACCCTTTAGCCTGGCGGAAGGCCGCTGGGCTTTGCAACTGAGTCAAGCGCCTCGGAGCCTCTGTTCCCTCGTCGCGCCGCCCGATTCGAGGTGCGGGGCCTGCAGGGCGGGTTTAGGGTTTAGGGTTTACTTGTAGACGACAACTTGTTTTTCCTGGACGTGGGCGGCCTGGTTGAAGGTTTCCTCATCAGTCTTGGCCAACATCACCAATTTCGACTGCGTGCTCACGACGCACTGGCCCGGGCAGTGCACAGCTTCTGCGGGGGGCTCTGTCGAGAAGGGGGCTCGAAGATCGGGGCAAACCTTCAACATGGTTTCTTGCACTGAGAAGCCAAACTCCACCAGCTTCGCCTCCGACAAGTGCTGCGAACCCGCCACAAGTCCGCATGCAAACTCAGCTTTTGGGGCTTTCTTGGCTCCCTGGCCCGGCCCTTGCCGGCGCAAAGCCCCTCTTTTAGACACTTATGCATGCATTGCATGCATGCATCTGCACACTATCTTTTTCCATATTCGCCTGTACCCTACTCATGCATACAATATGCATATTTCGTGCATAGGCTATGCCGTATATATTGCGTAAATAAGCATTTGGCTCTGCCCTTCTTGCATATATTAAGCACACAGACTAGAAGTATATGCATGCACTATCTCTATATGTTATCTATAAATATATTCACACAAAACGTACATACATTGTACATATATAGCATGGGATGTGTCATATGGCTGAACAAAGAATATATATACATATGAAGCAATGTGAATCAATGCATGCATATTCTATATATTGCCCAGATGCGTAAATGTGTACTTGCCCGTACTAAAGGCATAAAGTTTGTGTCCACATAAAAAAATGCATCTTCACTTTTGGCTGCCAGGCAGCAGCAGCCAGCTTTGTGTGCCGGCCATTCATTCCGTCTCAGGCTTGTAGACTCCAAACCCCCAACCCTAGACGTTAAACCCCAGACCCTAAACCCTAAACCCTAAACCCTTTTACCGCGGCCTCCTACTGCAGCGTGTTGTCAGTGAAGCCTTGTGGGTGCCGGGGTTGCTCAGACCGGCGGCCGCAGCACCCAAGCCCACCAGCCCTCATGCGTAGACCCTAAACCCTAAGGGCCGAGCCCTAAACCCCCAGTCACAAGCAATAAACCCTAAACTCTAAACCCTCGAGCCAGAGCACCAAGTTTACCTCCATCTCGAGCCCGTGGGTCCTGCAGAAGCAAGCATAGAGGAGCTCCAGCTCGCACAAAGGCGTGGGCTTAACTATGAAGAAGGCATTTGACTGGCACACGGCTTCAGACGCGGGAGTGCAAGGGTCCACTTCGGATTCGAACATGCCCAGGTAGACCAGCTGCGAGGTTTCTTGGTTCTGCATGCATGCATGCATGCATGCAGCAAACAGGCGGGTTTGGGGCTTGTGGGGCGGAGCAGCGCCTCACTAACTTTGCAGAACCCAACGAGACTATCAGCAGCGTCTCCACAGGAAAGCAACCAGCCCATGCACCCTGCCTCCGCAGCTTAGGGTGCAGCAGCAGCAGCAGCTTAATTCGCAGCAGCAGCTTAGTCCGCAGTTTGTTGCACAGCAGCAGCAGCGTCTTAGTTCGCAGCTCGTTGCACAGCAGCAGAAGCGTCTGAGCTCGCTGCTTGTGTCGTAGCAGCAGCAGCAGCTTAATTAGCAGCTTGTGTCGCCGCAGCAGCAGCAGCTTAACCAGCAGCTTGTGTCGCAGCAGCAGCAGCAGCTTAATTAGCAGCATGTGTCGCAGCAGCAGCAGCAGTTTAATTAGCAGCTTGGGTCGCAGCAGCAGCAGCAGCTTAATTAGCAGCTCGGGTCGCAGCAGCAGCAGCAGGAGCAGGAGTCAGCTGGCAGCAGCGGGAGGGCTGACCCTGAAGTGGGTGTCGACGTGCCAGGCGTAGCTGCCGGTGTTGGGGATGGCGCGCCCCCAGTGGAGCGGGAAGACGAAGGCGTCGGTGCGGTGGTCGAAGAGCGCGAGGTAAATGTGGTCGGGGCGCACTGGCGAGTCGCCCCACTGCCACTGCACAAACAGGTCTGCGCCCTGCAGCACGGGCCGCCCAGGGGAGTCCCGCGTGAAGTGCGGCGCCGCGGCCTTCGCGCCCAGCCCGCTCGCGCGGCTCTTCCGCGCCTCCGCGAGCCCCACGGAGCTCCGCGGGCTCCGCGCGCTCGAAGGCGCCCCGCTCCCGCCCCCAGACCCCTCCAGCAGCGGGACTGCAGCAGCAGCAGCAGCAGCAGCAGCGGCGGCGGCGGAGCCGGTGGAGGCAGCACGCAGGCAGCAGCGCGGGCTGTTTGCTCGCTCGGTTGGGTGGGCTCGCGGCGGGAAGGCGAGTGTTGCAGAGGCGCTGAAGATTCGCAGCGCGTAAAAACTCTAAACCCTAAACCCTAAACCCTAAACCCCAGAAGCTCAGCTCTGTTTACTTTGCAGGGAGTCGGCGTCAATGGGCGTGACGACACTGCGCCGGGACCTGCTCAGGGTGGGCCTGCTGGATTCAGCTGGCCGCGGGGCCTCCGCAGCAGCAGCAGCAGCCTGGGGTGTATGTGCAGCTGGACGCCCAGCCTCTTCTATCAGTCCCAACTGGGCCAAAATGTCTTCAGAATTTCCCTCGACGCGCGCAAACCGAGTGCGCCGGGCCGGGGCGGTTTCTGCGCAAAACAGACCGCCGCAAACCCTAAACCCTAGCCCTAAACCCTAAACCCTAAACCGCGAGAACCGGAAAAAGTAGGACGGAATCGAAGAGACAAAGGCAGGCAACACGCTAAGGCGGAGCAGCAGCACTGCTAGCTTCCGACACTTCGGAGGCGCAGCCGAAGAACGCTGTCACGTGCAGAGCCTAGGGTTTAGGGTTTAGGGTTCAGGGTTTGGGCCGCACCGTGAGTTGGCTCGTCGCGTATTCTGGCCACAGACCTGGCAGCTAGCGCTGCCCCCATAGGCTGGAAGTCCGTTTTCTTGCGGGCTCTTCGCCTCTGGAAGCCTGGGAGCTCCTGTTCTTCTTCTTTGTCTTCATGTCTGAGTCAGTTCATGCAGCAGGGCAGTGCATGCAGTGAAGCAGTGCATGCAGTGAGGCAGTGCATGCAGTGGGGCAGTGCATGCAATCGGGCAGTGCATGCAGTGAAGCAGCGCATGTAGTGGGGCTTTTCGCTGCAGTTGGGGGCTGGCTGCTTCGCAGCCCAGCATTGACACAGCAGTAGCTGTAGCCGCACATACGAGCAGCAGCAGCAGCAGAAGCAGCAGTAGCAGCAGCAGCAGCCCACCTGATATAAGACTTGATGTGTTTAATCTCCAAACTGCACTCCAGGCGGCCCCAGGGGCCCCTCCCATCCACATGCTCAAGGCCCACTCTGAATCGGCTGTGGCGCGCTGGGTATGACGCGTCTTGGGGGGCCCCTGTGCATGCAGCCCCACGCAGCAGCCTGGGGGCCCCTTAGAAAGAGTTAGCAGCCAATTATTGAGGCCCTAGCTCGAGCTACACTATCTCCACAGCCCCGAGTTTGCATGCATGCGTCTGCCCTGCAGCTTGTTTGGCTTAGCCCTCAGCTTTAAGCCCTAAGCCCTAAACCCTAAACCCTAAACCCTAGCGCGCGAATTGCTGAACCCGTCGAAAGCCCCCAGCGGCGCTCTTGGGGGCCCCCTGCAGCAAAGCCGGGGGGCTCCGCTGGCATTTGCTGCTGAGCTACCCGTAGCTGTTTTTTTTCCCCAGGAGCAGCAAACTCCCCTCAGACCCCCCACACTACTGTGCATGCAGGGCCCCCTCTGCATGCAGGGGCCTCCTCTGCATGCAGGGGCCCCTCTGCATGCAGGGGCCCCTCTGCATGCAGCGACCCCTCAACATGCAGGGCCCCCTCTGCATGCAGGGGCCCCTCTGCATGCAGGGGCAGCTAAGGGTTGAAAGCTCACCGCCGGAAGAGCCGTCTTGCATGGCGTCTTTGACAATTTGGTAAAGGTCTTCGAACCGAATAACTCCAAAAGCCAGAACTTGTCCAGTGCCTTCGTCGGAGACTTCAAAGCCAATCACGTGCTGCGCTATTCTGTCTCTGTCCAGCCGGAATGTTTGGCCCGGGCAAGTCAAGTAGGCGTAGGCCTGGGGGCAGCAAAGAGCAGCAGCAGCAGCAGCAGCAGCTGGCCTTTGGGGCTGCGGGGACTCCCAAAACGCATGCAATACGCATGCATTATCCGCTGCTATTGCTGTTTGCAAATCTCCGCTTCTGCGCAAACTAATGCATGCAGCTGGGCAAAGACGAATCCCACAAACGAGTCTTTAGTCCCACAAAAAAGGCCCAAGACTTGCAACTAAACCCTAAGAGATAAAGAGGGCCCCACAATACGCAGACTCGGGGACAGAAGGGCCCACAGAAGCCCTCAAGTCTGAGGCAAAGAGGGCCCCGAATGGGGGCCCCTGCAGGGGACCCCGGGGGGGCCCCCTAGAATTCCAAAGGGGCCCCCCAAGGGGCCCCCCAAGGGGGCCCCAGAACCCCCAAACGCATGCATGCACCCACCTGGCGGTCCGCCTCGCGCAACTCCGAAGGCGTCACCAGCGTTGGCCGCCCGCGAAAGGAAACATCTGAGTAGACTCGCCTGCCGGTACGCATGGCCACTTCCCTTGCCTGCAGCAGCCAGCGAAGTGCATGCACAGTGCATGCGTTTGTCTTTGTCTGCAGCCAGCGAAGTGCATGGACAGTTTACATGCGTTTGTCTTCGTCTCTGCAGGGAAAGGGGCAAGCATTGCTTCGTCGGCAAAGAAATTTAAACTGCATCTCCACGGGAAGCTGCACAGGCCTCCATGCATGCGCTACTCATCAAAAGCGAGGATTTGGGCAGCAGGGGACGGCCCGCAGCTGCAGCAGCAGCCGCAGCAGGAGCTGCAGCAGCCCCAACACTCCGCTTGGGAATCCTTAGGGCCCCTGGTTCTAGAACTGTCCCCTGCTGCCCGCACGGAGGCCCCATGTGGGGTTAAAGGCCCCCTCTAGGGGAGCCGAGGGACCCCTCTGTGACTGCCGGAGGGTCCCATGTGGGGCCCCGGGGGGCCCCCTGGCTCTGGAGGGCCCGTGGGGCCCTCAGGCGGGGCTTACTGTATGGGCTTTTTGGCCAAAGTGAGCCGCCACTGTAAACCTGCACTCCGTTTGTTTGAGAGAGTCCACGAGCTGCGAGAGAACGCGGGAATGACTGTGGTCAAAGGAAACCGTGCGTTTGCGGCCCAGGGCGCTGCAAAGCCCCAACACACAGTCGCGTCGCGCATGCATGCAAACTGCGCATGCATGGATGCATGCATGCATGATGCATGCGTGCGTGCTCGCATGCAAGTGTGCTTGCGTCTACATTGCATATGCACAGAGTGGACGCAGGCGCCACGTGCATGCACAGCCTGCATGCAGCGCTGCACGCACGCGTGCCTGCACGCACGCATTTGCGCAGCATGCATGCACGTCTGCATGCATGCATGCATGCATGCATGCATGCATGCATGCGGACCTGCCGGGAGCGTAGACGCTGGGGTCTTGGCAGGGGACTGCGAAGACGTGGAGCTGGAGGTCCTCGAGCTCGACGGGGATGGAGAAGTGGCTGGCGGTCTTGGCGAACTTGCGGAGGAAAATGTCGAGAGAAGACACGCGGGTGGGGACGCACTTGCTGAGCAGCAGCAAAGGGTAGTCCGTGATGGAGAGACGGGGCCCCAAGATGAACTCTGCAGACCAGCGGCTCTGGTCAATGAGCCGCCCCTGCGCGCTGAAGAAGATCAGCCGGACTCTGTACTTTTTGTGCATTTGGAGTTCGTAGTCCTGGGCGACTTCGAGGTGGACGGGGCCGGGGTGCCGCGAAGGCAAAAACAGCTCTTTTTGGTTAAGTCCGAACTCGTGCACTGAAGTCACTTTGCTCGTGTTCAAGTAAACATAAATTTCTTCTTTGCTGCACTCCGCCATGCGGCTGCGGTCGTTGGCCGCGTCCGCCCACGCAGCCAGCGCTGGCTTCATGTGCACGCCCATCCACGCTGCGGGCTGCGGGCAGTCCCCAGTGGACCACCGCAGCAAAATCCCGTGCGCCGGGTGGTCCACTGGTACCACCATTAGGTTCCACGCCCCCGCCTCCGCCGCGTTCAGCGCCGCTGCACGCAAACGCCCCAACACCAAACGCCGCCCGTCCCTCTTCAGCAAAAGCCGCCCTTCTCAGACACTTCCTAGGCCTCCAGCGGCCCCGGGGGGCCCCGGGGGCCCTTGGGACCCCTGGGGGCCCCCAAAGAAACGGCGGGGCGCTGCGAGGGGCCCCTCAAACGCCCACGCAAAAAGCAACAGGGGCCCTCGGTGGGCACTAGCACTTGGGAGGGATGCTTGGGGGCTCTAGGGGCCCCCGAGGGCCCTAGGTGCCTCCAGAGCCCCGGAGGGCCCTAGGGGCCCTGGGGCCTCAGGGCACGATGCTACCTAGAGCCGTGGGCCTCCCAAGGGAGCCTCTTCTCTCCTTAGAGGGCCCTGGGGCCCCCCGGAGGCCCTCCGGCAGCTCCGGAGGTCCCTAGGGGCCCCCTGAAAGCCCCCCGGCAGCCCTAGAGGGCCCTGGAGCCCGACGGGGGCCCCTAGGAGTCCCGGGGGCCCCCGCGGGCCCCCTGGGGCCCCGTGGATGGGGGCGGGACTCACAGGGCAGCTCGTGGTCGAGTCTGTGGCTGGCTGCGCGCATCACGATGGCGTCCGTGTGGGCCTTTCGCAGACGGGGCATGAGGTTGCTGAAGCAAACGTAGACGGCCCCGCAGGCGAGGGCGAGCGCGGCCAAAATGCTGATGACGATGGCCACCACGAAGGACCACGTGTCCCGCAGCCTGCGCCCCGCCCAGCGCACGCAACGCCCCCAGCTAGCTAGCTAGCTGGCTGGCTGGCTGGCTAGCTGGCTGGCAGCTAGCCACAGCTGTACTGCCATCGCTAGCTAGCGACAGGTAGCCAGAAACAGCTAGTTCGCCACAGCTACTTCGCCACAGCTATCTCGCGACTGCTAGCTAGCCGCAGCTACCTTGCCACCGCTGGCTAACCACAGCTATCTTTCCACCGCTAGCTATCCCGAGCTAGCTATCCCGAGCTAGCTATCCCGAGCTAGCTAACCCGAGCTAGCTATCTCCAGCTAGCTACCCCGAGCTAGCCATCCCGAGCTAGCTATCCCCAGCTAGCTATCCCCAGCTAGCCAGCGCCGGCTAGCTAGCCGGGCCGGCGTGGGCGCTCACGAGACGTGGACTTTGATGAGGGCGTCGTTGAGGACGGCGAAGCGGATTTGGGGGGAGCTGGAGTTTTTGCTCCAAACGAAAAGAGTGCTTTGAGTGCGGGCCTCCGCGAGGGCCTCCCACAACACCAAAAAGGCGTCTTCAACAATATCTTCTTTGCACTGCCCGGGGCCCTTCACCAGCCCCACGTACTCGCCCCCCACAGCCTCGCTCTCCTTCTCGTCGCCCTCCGACAGCCGCCGCGCCTGACACGCAGCGTTAGGGTTTAGGGTTTAGGGTTTAGGGTTTAGGGTGGGTGCTGGCGCGGCGCTGCTTCGTGCTTGTGGGTTTCAATTCCAGAGTTTAGGGTTTCTGTTTGGCCCTCGGTTGCGAGGGTTTAGGGTTTAGGGTTTGGAGCTGTTGGGAGGACTGACTGGCGCTGCGGGATCGGGTCCCGGGGCGTCAGCGTCTGCGGGCGGGAGTATCGCAGCCGGCGCCGCCGCCGCTGCTGCTGCTGCTGCTGCAGGTGCAGGTGCGTGCTGCGCGTGCGGCGCGTCGGTGCCGCTGCTCAGGGGGGCCCCCTGGGGGCCCCCCGGGGCGTCGGGCGGCGGGCTGGCGGGCTCGAGGAAGCGGCCGGGTCTCCGGCTGATGGACTTGACCTTCTGCTTGGGCCAGAGGAAAGAAAGGAGGGACTGGAGAAGAGAGTCCTCGGAAGAAGTGATGATGTCCGGGAGCACGTCGTCCTGCTGGTCGATGTGGCCGCGGCAAAAGAGGCCCCGCGTCTGCAGCGGCAGGTGCAGCACCCGCGGCTGCAGCATCCCCCCCGACAGCAGCACGAACCAGTACACGGAGCGGAGGTAGGCGTTGCTGCTGAGGACGCGCCAGCTGCCCGGGTGGTCCAGACCAGCCTGGTCCACCCGTATGATCCAGGGCGCCGCGGGGTCCTCGCGGAGCCACTGCAGCGCGCTGCGCACCCGCAGCAGCGAGTAGTGGTCCAGGTGGGGTTTGCGCTGCTGGTCCACTCCGGCCCAGGTGTGCATGGGCCACTCGGGGTCCTCGTGGGCCCCCC